GTGAAGGAATGCAGCGTAGAACTTGTATGTTATTTTAAATAACATACAAGTTCTACGCTGCATTCCTTCACCGTGACGTCATAAAACATGAACGTTTCTACTGGCTTCTGACTGTCTTTTCAACTTCCGGAAAAGACACTCTACTGATTTCGGTAATATAAAAATATAGAAATTGATTTGTTTTTGTATAATAAGCCTCGTTCTTGTGCAGTATGAAGGCGCGGCCACTAAGACCCCGTTTACACGGTACCGGACGAATTTGTGACCGGACGAAAATTCGTCCGTTTCGGCCGTGTAAACACACGAGGACCACGGAACCGGACGAATTTGAGACCCCCTAACAGGACGAATTCGCGTCTAAACAGGCGAAAAAGGACGAATTTTCGTCCGGTCCCAAATTCGTCCGATACCGTGTAAACGGGGTCTAAGTTTCGCAATTGGTCTATAGCCTAAGGTCCATAAAGGAATGCTTCTCATCTCTTTTTGATTTATACGTATTTTAGGTACACCTGCGGTAATCGTAGCTATAACAATGATAGTGGCTCTGGACAAATATGGCGACGAGAGATTGTAAGTAGAGTTTTGGTTTAGTCTTTAGTTCTGTATAATGAAGCCTCTATACAGCCAGTTACGGACGAGGGACACGTTTTCTATGACAAGTTTTCATGTGACAAGTTTTATTTGCTCCTCTGTAAAGGCAACTTTGCCATGTTTTACTATGACAAGAGTATACTTGCTGAAAACCTAGTATGCTAGCTTCAATAAGTGCATAGAATAACCAAACCTTTTCGATATAATTACATGAATATGTTCTTGGCCTGGGAGCTTCATTTTCATGAATCGTGAGCCAATCACATTCGGGTCTTGATTCATGAGAACGAGGCTCCCAGGCCACTGAACGTATTCATGACGTAATTATCAAAAAGGTGTATTGGGAAAGTGCAAATTTTGTTCGTCTGTATGGATGCGTCAACAAAGAAAATTTGGCAAAGTAATTTGGGTACTTGCGTGCGGTTCGACAGCGATGTTGTTCGTAGGGTTCTATTCCCGCCCGGAGGGCGTGTACCGATGTACCGTATACGAAATACAAAACAACGGCCGAAAATGAACATAATAACATTTCGAGTATATTTTACTAATTTTAGTCATTTTCAGGAATAATATGAATTCCTGATGACGATGTATACGGCAGTCGAAAGCTAGAATATAAAAAAATGATCAGTTTCGGAGTTGCCGCGTTGTTTTGGCCCACAGTTGCAGTTTTCGTAACTTCTCCCATTTAGGTGTGAAATATACGTTTACAAAACCTTTCCATCTTCAAAAAGCTTGAAACTTGATTAAAATGTCTATTTCTTTCAGTTGTCGACTGCATGGCGTGCCATTTTTTGTGGCATTTGTCACTCCAGTTATTTTAATCCTCGTTGGAAATATCGTGGTTTTCTGCCTTGTTATTCGGTCATTACTTACTTCCGGTAAAAAAGTGACCTCCAGCCTCAAAGTATCAAGCTTGCAGCAAGCTCGGCAAGGGATTGCGATCATGGTACTGCTCGGGTTAACCTGGCTGTTTGGTTTTCTTGCAATCGACGATGCTAAACTAGCATTTCAGTGGTTGTTTTGCATTTTTAACTCACTTCAGGGATTTTTGGTATTCATATTATTTTGCATTTTGCCCGCTGGAACAAGAAAGCACCTGCGAAAACTTTGTAGCCAAAAGAGCAGTTATCAAATTCGGGAAGACCCATCCACTGGCAGCACTGCCATTGGGAAAATGTATTCAGTGAATGATCAATGCTCTGCGTCGGGAGATGAACTTAAAACATTGGATGAAGAAAGCAGTTGCTGACATGGCTTTATATAGAGCTAAGAAAGAATCTAATAATAATGGAAACTTTATTACTTTCAATAATATATATATATATATATATATATATATATATATATATATATATATATATATATATATATATATATATATATATACAGTGTTATCAAAATAAGCGCAATTCATTTTTTGTGCTTAATAACTTTCGAAATACTATTTTTAGTTAAACGCTTTTAGCCTTACTTCAAAGCCTGTTCTTTTCTCTTTCAAACAAACTATTATCCTTGTCTCCAATGCTAGTAATAATTGCACAGGAAAAGATTTAGTAAACCTATCATTTTTAGTTGCTGTTTAATTATGCAAGTTTACTATGTTATTGTTTAGTCGGTTTAAATGTTAGAATTTTCTTCTTTAAACTTTAATGTTATCGTCACTACATCTGGAAAACCACGTAAGAACAAATTAAAAGTATTTTAAAAGAGAGCAGGTTGTTTGAAAATCCTAAACGAATGCTAAAAATCGTCAAAACATTCTGGTGTCTGAGCCAGAGTGTCATCGAATTGCGATGTAATGTAAACAGAAATTATAGCAAGTTGATGTCAGTCAGCTTAGATGGTCCAAGCCAAAATTATATCGCATTTGAAGTTTCAAACTGAGTTAAAAATAGTGGAAGAAAAGCCGTAATTATACTTATTGTTACAATCCATTTAATAAAATGCAACATTTTTTTGTTTTAATGAAAAAATCAGTTATTTTCATGAGAACGATTTGTTATTCCATCTCAATTTTTTTAATCTCCAATCGCAATAACGTAAAGTATTATTACCCGCGAACCAATGAGTCAAATTTAAGAAACAACCCACTGTTAGAAAGCTGAATGGCTACGCTTTAAAATGAATGTAAACTTTAACGTTTTCGTCTATTATTTGTAATTAGCAATTTACATTTCAGTCGAGGATTGCGCTTTTTTTTATACACCCTGTATATATATATATATATATATATATATATATATATATATATATATATATATATATATATATATATATATATATATATATATATATATATATATATATATATATATATATATATATATCTATCTATATATCTCTATCTATATCTATATCTATATCTCTATCTAGGTTCGCATAGGTTCGCATTTTCTTAAGAGAAAAGCGACTCATTTTAAGGAGGTATATATAACTATTTATATCACATTTGTGTCTGTTTTCTCTGATCGTCCGAGGTTTATAACTAGCTAATATACCTTGAATAAATAATTACATCAAACTTTTCGACAAAACGCGAGAATTTTTCATCAAAATTTTTTGAAAATGACAAAATATGTTAGAAAACCTCCACAAATGTGATATAAGTTAGTTATAAACCTCGAAAGTCGGTTTATAACTGATATATTGCCCTTGGACGCTGCGCGTCCTCGGGGGCAATAGAGACCTTACGATTTTAGGACGGCAACGGCTACCCTATACAATAGATCATTGAGAAGAATTGAGTAATTACAATAAATGAATAATTTAGACATTGTCCTCGCTCTGTTTACAACGCCAAATCACAGATTTTCACGTGTTGATACAACGGCTGCATTCCAAGCCACAACAAGTGCAACTTCAAACGGGGTTTAGCAGAACTCTTCCCAACCATAAAACCCATGTCTTCAACTTCTAAGACTGTATTAAATGCATACGATTGATAATATACGATGAACTATCGACTACCATTTATTTGAAGGAGTTTGTTTTGGCCGTCGCCGTCGCAGTTGCCGTTCTAAAATCGTAAGGTCTCTAACATATCAGTTATAAACCTCCTTCTCGGTTTATAACTCTAACTTATTGTATATGATTTATATAAATTGTTCATAAATGATCTAAAAAATGACAGTATATGCACTAAACCAACCCAATGTGCACTTTAAAGCTATGCGGGTTTTATTGTAACATCATGTTCTAAAGCTTGTAAGCCTTGTATCTAATCTTCAACTTTGGCTTGCTCATATTGACAGGTTGTCCAACTGGCTCAGGACCTCATCCTTAAATAAAAAAGATATCTTCATTGTGAGTAGTTAGGCTATATGCAGAACGGACTCGACCAAATACCGCCGGTTTCCCCAGATATCCTGGCTTTCTCCTATAGTAATACTGGATCAATAAGGGACGATTCTTACTGGGCCTCTACATATGTGTATAACTATAGAACAGCTAGAACTAGATTTACCCATTTAGTCTAAACAAAGCTAGTTTATGGCAGTCTTGACACTTACACAGAGTATTTCATTCAAATCAATACACAACAGGACATTCTCATCTTTATCACTTACTTTGACTTCGTGATTACAAAACTTCTCTCTCATTTCTTCGGCTAGATCAGGTCTGTTTATAATATCATGTTCTAAAGCTTGTATCAAGTCTTCAACTTTGGGATACCTTGTCCTTCGTCGCCATCTTTGCAAAACATCCATACAGCTCCTCTCAACACTTTCAAAATTCTGACTTGACATAGCTATTTCACATTCTGGCACGCCAAGAACGCGAGCGTAGTTTCGAAACCACGCTGCAATGCGGGGTGCAAGCCACACCAAAACACGGCCACCCAACTCGTCTTCTTTCAAAAGAGCACGAATGACATCACACCGTCCAACGGTTTCATCTTCCAAGCATAAACGAATTTTCTCCCATGTTGGTTTCTTTCCAAGCTTTATTTCTGCATTTCTCCACGAGTTAAGGATTTTAATGTTTCGTCTTTCTGGCTGGGGTTCGCCTTGTTTAATAACTTCGATTTCAACCGAGTCACCTTCTAACAGCATCGCAACTTTTTCGACATCCTTGCTGAGATGTTGCGCCAGCCACGGTACGTGCCGTTCACAAATTTCATCATCGAAATCCGTTATTTCTGTTTGAAAAAAGAAAACAATGATACTGTAAACTTTCGAATATAAGGTCACCCAAATATAAACCCACCCGAATACAAGCCCACCCGGGTATAAGCCCAGTACATGCAGGCTAAAGCAAGGGGGTGTATTATCGCATTTGCCGACATTTCAGTTGCTTATTTCCGAATAAAAGCACACCCGTGTATAAAGCCCACCATCTTCACTAACAGACATATTAAACAAAAGTCGTAATTAAGACCATTATAGATAAACTACAGTAAACTAGGCTAAATTTATTTATTTAGGATACCTTTACCAGTCCTAAACTGTTCTCTCTAAAGGTCTGGTAAGATCCCTTATTGCTTCAGTGTTACTAGACGGAAGGAAACCTAAACTAAGCTATATTTATTTACCCTGGATAGCTTTATTTGAATTGTTCTAAATAAAACTGTTCTACCCAGAGGTCCAGTAAAGGTAATATCTTATCGATCCAGTGTTACCACAGGAGGAAACCTAAGCTAAACTAACTTTCTTTATACTGGATAGCTCTATCAGTTCTAAACTCTTCTTCCTAGAGGTCTAGTAAGGATCATCTCTTATTGATCCAGTGTTACTACAGGAGGTAACCTGAACTAAACTAACTTTATTTATACTGGATAGCTCTATCAGTTCTAAACTGTTCTCCCTAGAGGTCCAGTAAGGATCTTCTCTTATTGTTCCATGCAATGTTACTACAAGAGGAAACCTGAACTAAACTAACTTTATTTATACTGAACAGCTCTATCAGTTCTAAACTGTTCTTCCTAGAGGTCCAATTGATCCAGTGTTACTACAGGAGGAAACCTAAACTAACTTTATTTATACTGGATAGCTCTATCAGTTCTAAACTGTTCTCCCTAGAGGTCCAGCAAGGACCATCTCTTATTGATCCAGTGACCAATATTAGTACAGGAGGAAACCTAAACTAAACGAACTTTATTTACACTGGCACAGAAGAATCATTATTTTCAGTTCTACAGAGATTCGTGTAGAATGTGAAAGAGCCAAATCACATTTGCACAATTACAAGAATTCAATTCAATACAGTTAAAAAGTGCTCGTAGTGACCATGCAGGCCTTAAAATATCCGTCAGAGAACCGTCTGACAAAATGTTTGATGACTTTGAGTGGAACAAATGTATTGTGATGTCTGATGGATGTTTGAGTTAAGTTTAGTTGGAATTAAGTATGAATGAAGACACAAATTAATATCAGCACAATTTGGAAATTAAGTCGGAGATTCTTGGCAATGAATTTCTGAACCCCACGGTGAAAACCTCGCACTTGATTACACATTTCCAGTTTACTTTTTATACAGTACATTACTCTGATTCTCTGGCCTGGAAGTCCTCTAGAGGTTTGTCACGCCTAAGCCGCCTCTCATTTGCCAAGACGAAAATAATTCTTTTCTGCAAGCATGTGATTATGAGACTATGCTGTCATAGATAGTCGTAACTGCAGGTGCTGTCAAGGCCGCCCAGAGGGGTAGAGGGGGCAATTTGCCCTGGGGCCCCAGTTAAAGGGGGGCCAAATAAGAAATTACAGTGAAATATAAATACAAACCATAGTCTATCAAGATATGGTCTGGAAACTGAACAGAAGTCATTGTATTATGTTTTGATCTGAGTTTATATTACCTTATTATAGGAAATTAACGATACACTTTATTAACGCGATATAAATTAACACGACATCAAATTAACGCGGATTGTTTCCAGGTCTTTTAAAACATGATTATACTAACGCGAATCTGATCTCCATGGTTGACAAATTAATTAAATTTAACGCGAATCGGATAGTGAACTGAGTTGAGAGGAGTATTTTGATATTAGAAGAGTTAGTGTTATATAAAACAAATCAAGGTCTTTTTAACTGACGATAAATAAAAATGACATACTTAAAATTAACGATGAAAAATAAAATCCGCTTTAATAAAGTGCATCGTTAATTTCCTATAATAAGGTAATTTGCGCACGGTCACGGTGATTGAGTTCATTGTATTTTCGTATATTGAAGTAATCATCCAATAAAGATAGCTGAGATGAAACGCGTAACCACGAAGAATAATATTTAATGAAGTTGAGACAAAGTATTTGTGCATGGTGAGGTACAGTTCAACATCAAACAAAGGTCTTCTATTTTGTGGCTTTGAAATTTGCCGGGCTTCCAGACCATCATATCTTGACAGACTATGTACAAACGCAGATAAAAACATAACTTCCTGGCGGAGGTAATAATAGTGATGATTATTATATTAACTGATTCATACCAGGCATAGATCCTTTGAGATACGACTGTCCTGTCGATTGAGAACCTGTGAATAATTTGAAATTCCATATTACAACAAAAAACATGCCTACAAAACTTAGATACATGAGGAAAAAATTATCTGCAACGCTTATAACTAAAAATTCCTATCGATTGCAACCAAGAACAGGCCAACTGATCGATTCCCTCGATACCTCGTCAAAAAGCCATATAGTCTAGGACCTGTATATGAGTTTGTATGCGTTTCATTTACCACAGGTAATCTCAACTGTTTTAGGGTAAATTGACCATGGCGGTCAACATGGCATATGTGCCAAAACCTGAATCCTGGACGAAAGTCCTGAAAATGACCCCGCCCTGAAATGGCAGTGTCGACATAGCTCTAACTTCCAAAAAGCAAAAGCGACAGCCTTTCTGAAGTGCTTATAGTGTTTAGAAGGGTGCTTTTAGGGGTGGTTATTGGAAGGAAAAATTTGTGTAAGTATAATATTTTACAAGAAAATGACCATTTATCACCCCAGGTAAATTGCTGATTATGCAGAAAATAACTAATATACATGGCAGAAATTAAATATCCTTATTTCCTAAAAAAAATTACCATGGGATGAAAAACTATGCTTAATTTAATATAATTATTGTAGTTTTCATAAGGATAGTCACTGTTTTCTATAAATATAATATATTTTATTTCACTTACCCCCCACGAAAACACGATTTCAGCCATATTTTGCCGTCTTGTTTGCTTTATATCGCCGTGTCTCGCAAATAACATCCAGTTGTTGTACTTTTACATAATGGCAAATGGCTAAAGGAGATTTCAACCAAGTTTCGGCAAGTTTTGGAGCAGTGCAGTGTATTTTATCTTCGATATTGTGTCCTTCGATATTTCGTCCATATGCCGCCATTTTAATGGCTCGTCGATTCTCTGCCCGATAAATGCCACTTCTTCGTCTTCATATGTATTTAGATTACAGTATCCAAGAGTACTTCATTGTAGAATAGTCCTAAAAGAAAAATTGAAAAAATTACTTGCACTTTGAAGGAAAAATCCTCGCACAACAAATTCAGGATAGGAATAAAAACAAATAATTTGAAAGTCACGCGCAATCTTCGCGAAAATTCCTCGTGGCTACTTGACTGGGGGGGGGGATATTTTCACGAAACGTTGTTCCCACAGCAACCTAACTGGATGTCTGGATATATTATATTTATTGCATTTTTATGATTGATAATAAAAATACGTAAATATTTAATGTTTTTAATTTTTATTTTTAAATCATAAAATACAATAAATACAATATATTTAGTTGAAACTTGAATTGCTGTGGTGGCGAACAACGTTTCGTGAAAATATTCGCCCCCCCTGTCAAGGAATTTTCGCGAAGATTGCGCGTGACTTTCAAATGATTTGTTTTTATTCCTATCCTGAATTTGTTGTGGGAGGTTTTTTCCTTCAAAGTGCAAGTAATTTTTTCAATTTTTCTTTTAGGACTATTCTACAATGAAGTACTCTTGGATACTGTAATCTAAATACATATGAAGACGAAGAAGTGGCATTTATCGGGCAGAGAATCGGCGAGCCATTAAAATGGCGGCATATGGACGAAATATCGAAGGACACAATATCGAAGATAAAATACACTGCACTGCTCCAAAACTTGCCGAAACTTGGTTGAAATCTCCTTTAGCCATTTGCCATTATGTAAAAGTACAACAACTGGATGTTATTTGCGAGACACGGCGATATAAAGCAAACAAGACGGCAAAATATGGCTGAAATCGTGTTTTCGTGGGGGGTAAGTGAAATAAAATATATTATATTTATAGAAAACAGTGACTATCCTTATGAAAACTACAATAATTATATTAAATTAAGCATAGTTTTTCATCCCATGGTAATTTTTTTTAGGAAATAAGGATATTTAATTTCTGTCATGTATATTAGTTATTTTCTGCATAATCAGCAATTTACCTGGGGTGATAAATGGTCATTTTCTTGTAAAATATTATACTTACACAAATTTTTCCTTCCAATAACCACCCCTAAAAGCACCCTTCTAAACACTATAAGCACTTCAGAAAGGCTGTCGCTTTTGCTTTTCGGAAGTTAGAGCTACGTCGGCACTGCCGTTTCAGGGCGGGGTCATTTTCAGGACTTTCGTCCAGGATTCAGGTTTTGGCACATATGCCATGTTGACCGCCATGGTCATTTTACCCTAAAACAGTTGAGATTACCTGTGGTAAATGAAACGCATACAAACTCATATACAGGTCCTAGACTAATTGGTAATTTTACAAATTTAGTAGTAAGAATAATCAAATATGAATCAAACTATCAAATCAAAGTATATAATTTTCGGGGGTGCAAAAACTTTTGGGGGCGGTGCCAAATGCTTCTGGGGTGCAAAATCCCCCCCCCCCCCCCCCCGCCCCGAAAATCCGTGCCTGATATGCTTGTCTCTGTCTGAAAATGAGTACCCACTAAATATTATTTAACCCATAGAGTGGCACTACTATCCACTTGACGAATAAAATCATCTGGCGTTAGACAGAGTAAAATTCTAAATTAGGGCGCATCAGAGTGCATAACTGCCACTTAAAGGGTTAATAATGCATACTGTATGTAGTCAGGGGCCTATTTATGGCTGTTGTAGATTTGAATTTATTAGAATTATATACACTAGATTTATTAGATATATAATGGAATATATTCATACCATTTGCTTCAATCTCATCATGCGTAATGTCAGAAAATTGATGAGCAATACACTTTTCCCGTAGGTTAATAAAAAACACTCTGTTAATTTATCAGTGAAGGAAAAACGTTTTAAGTGATTATATATCTACAATTACTGTTACAGAAATTCTTATTGGAACCAATGGTTCTCAAAGGATTGAATGGATCTTTAAGGATTCAATGGAAAATTTATTTCCGACAGTAATTTTTTTTAAAAGTTTTAATAGGATTACTAACCATTATAGATATGAAATATTTGAGAATTTGTTTTTCTTCATATAACCACAGAGTAGAGACATACAGAGACGTAACTAGTGTACCCACCTTTTTTGTGCGCATGCTCGGCAAGTTACTAAAAGCATGCATCTGATTGGATGACAACCTGATGGCGACTCACTTTAAACTTGCTGAGCACGCGCAGTTGATCATTTTTCGCCCGGTCGCCTGAAAAAAGTGGGTATATGAAAACGTAAGCTTCCGCAGTGTTTAAGTGGCTGTCTCACTAAGAACCATGCAGAGCGTTTCAAGTTGAAAATTTGATTTCCTTTATATTTTTACCATGAATTACCTTTGTCCTAAAAGGTATTAAACTAAGATTAGAATTTTAAAATTTTTCTTTTTTTTTGAGTTATGACGAATTTTTGTCTAGACGTCAGCGACTCTGAAATTTGACCCAGAAAACGGCGGTCAATTGTGTGTTAAATTGTGCATCATAAACTCGGAAAGTTTCGCGTCAAATTAAAAACTTTTTTCAGCGTATTGAGACATATTCTTCTTCTTTTAGAATGCTGAAAGAATTTCAATGTACATCTTATTTTAAGCCTACTACTCTCCATTCAAGGAAGTCGGTGTTTTCGTTCGCCGAACAACTAATGATTAGGTACAAAATTCAAACTAAAAATTGTCAAAAGTGCAACCTACTTGGTGTCTAAAACACTTTTAGGGTTAAAGTTGAATACTTGAAGTTATGTTATTCGCAATAAAACTTGTCGGCAAAAGGAATATGAAGGAGTGCAAGATTCATAAATTATGGCTATAAATAGCTCTATTGTTTACCTTTGTGATAACCGGAAACACGTTCAGTGTTGCTCGCGGAGCTTTTATAGCGACTAATATATTGCACAATATCATTGTATTTAACTCAGAAAAGTTTAATTCGATCGATGAAATGCGGCGGATCGATCTTTGAGGTCTAAAACGGTTAGAAGAAATAAATTCGTCTAGGACGTTGTAGCCTATCCCTCATGACCGGACAAGTAGAATGTCAATGTCAAAAATGTATAGGTTGCCGTAACGTCGCATCGAATTAATAAATCCATGAACTTGTTATTATGTTCTGTTAAAAGTTTTCCGCATTGCCCATTTGGCAGAATTTTTGTCCCATCATGCAAACCATTCAATTCATCGTATACTGAGATCTGTCCTTTATCTTCATTTTAATCTATACAGCAATAATAATAATAATATTACAGGATGATCCGTCTGTTTGCCCGCGTTTATACACAGACGAACTAGAAGACGAACTACCTTTTGCTTGCCCATGTTCGTCCAGACGGATGATCCGTCTCTAGTATAAATCCGGCCAATGTCAATGCAACTAACATCGTTTTATACGATGAATTGAATGGTTTGCATGATAGGACAAAAATTCCGCCAAATGGGCAATGCGGAAAACTTTTAACAGAACATAATAACAAGTTCATGGATTTATTAATTCGATGTGACTTTACGGCAATACACATTTTCGATATTGGCATTGTACCTGCCCGGTCATGAGGGATAGGCTACAGCGTCCTAAACGAATTTATTTCTTCTAACCGTTTTAGACCTCAAAGATCGATCCGTCGCATTTCATCGATCTAATTAAACTTTTCTGAGTTAAATACAATGATATTGTGCAATATATTAGTCGCTATAAAAATTCCGCGAGCAACATTGAACGTGTTTCCGATTATCACAAAGGTAAACAATAGAGCTATTTATAGCCATAATTTATGAATCTTGCACTCCTTCATATTCCTTTTGCCGACAAGTTTTATTGCGAATAACATAACTTCAATTATTCTACTTTAACCCTAAAAGTGTTTTAGACACCAAGTAGGTTGCACTTTTGAGAATTTTTAGTTTGAATTTTGTACCTAATCATTAGTTGTTCGGCGAACGAAAATACCGACTTCCTTGGATGGAGAGTAGTAGGCTTAAAATAAGATGTACATTCGAATTCTTTCAACATTCTAAAAGAAGAAGAATATGTCTCAATACTTTGAAAAAAGTTTTTAATTGGACGCGAAACTTTCCGAGTTATGATGCACAATTTAACACATATTTGACCGCCGTTTTCGGGGTCAAATTTCAGTGTCGCTGACGTCCAGACAAAAATTCGTCATAACTCAAAAAAAAATAAAAATTTAGAAATTCTAATCTTAGTTTAATACCTTTAAGGACAAAGGTAGTTCATGGTAAAAATATAAAGGAAATCAAATTTTCAACTTGAAACGCTCTGCATGGTTCTTTGTGAGACAGCCACTTAAACGGTCAGTTACGTCTCTATATGTCTCTACTCTGTGATGTAACTGGCAGGACAAAGTTTGACAAACAAACCTGTACTCATGCTGCAAGCAAATTAAAACATTTAGCAGTTAAAACACTGGCTCTTACAGTACTATCTGATGACATTAGAAAGAAACCTAGTGGCTAGCTAGGTGTTTATGTTAATATTCAAAAGCCTGATAGTTTATTGTAATTTAATAATATACTTGGTTTAATATATAATTGGTTTAATATACCATATAATTGGTTTAATTATATGAATATAGATTTATAAAGGAAAGGATACTGATTTTTGTTATCTTTTCTATCACTTCTGATGTAGACTCCAGGGAATGCCTCTTTACTGCTCGAGTTACGCGTGATTTTGTGACAGTATCGTCACCCAGATATGGGCCATTCCATTTAATATACACACCCCCCTGTGGACGAAAATTTCTGAGGGGGGTTGAAAAAGCCATTTCTGAGGGGTTGTGTGCATCGGCATCCTTTGATCTTTGCGTTTTTTCCGAGGGGTAAGGCAAAAATTTCTTAATTTCTGGAGGGGTGTTTGTGTCGGCACTTTGGTCTTTTTTTCTTAGGGGTTCAAATTTTATTGACTTCGTCCACAGGGGGGTGTGTACATTAAATGGAATGGCCCTATGCCACAACCGTATCATAAGGTGTTTGACTGTTGTCGTGCAATTCAAAACCATCTTTTAAAACAATTGTAGTGGCCTTTCTTTGATCCATTCGTTGTTTCCCTGATAGGGATTTTCCTGAACAACAATTAAATTATTATATTAATTAAGCTATTAAATTATAAATCGAATGAAACCTCGCACGCGATAAAGTTTGTTAAAATCTTTGAATATATGAAACTATTTAACTTACCAACACAAACTCTCTTCAACGGTGGCAATGGAGCTTGTTTTGTTGATGGAGTCAATGTGTGCTTTCCTTGCGCAGGGCTTTTCACGCTGCCTTCTTCTTGTATTTCTTGTATAGGAGTGCTTGTTCTCTGTTTATCATGATCTGATATACGAAAAAAGACAACATAAGAAACAGTTTATGCAAATATTGCGATATTTCCAACAGAAAATATATGCGCTGCACACATGGCTTGTATCAATTTGTCAACACTTACCATAATCCTTGTCCTTCAGCGATAGATTATGCATAGACGTCTCCAAATCTTCTTCTGAACCCGACCAGATGCTTTCTAAGTCTTGCAAAGGCAAGCTCTCGTTCAAATCTTCGCTCATTATCAAAATTTATGCATTTGCCGAGAAATTGACCGATTTGCCAAGAAACAGACACAATATTTCACAGTCCCTAACAAAACGCCTCGGGGCATTCCCATGGTCCTTTGCATTATAAGCAGTTTTAGGGACTGTGGAAGAGTCAGTGCAAATCAGTCTTTACCGATTGCAGAGATAAATTGACAATGTATTATTACATCAGTATGGCGGTCCATCACCGCCAAAAATCAATATTGCAATTCGACTTTTAATATGGGGAATCAACATTTAATTTTGCCCATAATTTTTCATACGGCTTTTGACAATTGTTTACCACACAAACATTTAACGACTTTCCTGCACGCAACAATGAACTTGCTGGAAAAATCTAAATATCAAAAGTTGCAATTCGCTACACTGAAAGTTGCGATTTGCACAGTTGAAAGTTTCAATCTGTCAAATTCGAAGTTGCAATTTGTCAAGTTGAAAATTGCGATTTGTCAAGTTGAAAATTGCGATTTGTCAAGTTGAAAATTGCGATTTGCCGCCGCTTGTACAAAAGCCGCCAAAATTACGTCATACAAACTTTGTCATAATGACGTCATTTTGAAATACTTGGAATCTTTGATTCACTTGGATTCTTTGATTCTTTGATCCTCTCAAATTGACAAATTCATCATGGAGGAGGAATTGAAAGCCGTGAAAAATTCGCTTACTCGTGTGGTCGACACTCTATAACGTGTCGAAAGTTCTCGTTCTGACCCAGGTATGTCAAACTTCTTTGAATGGTGTGAACATTAATATTTTTTAGATGAATATGGTTTGATTATAAATACGAAGATTAATAATTTAATTGTGCCTTTATATTGTTTGGCGGTTTTGCTGGCACATGGCGTGATGGCAGCAAATTGTTGTTTATATTGGTGTTGTCTAAATTCGTTCAATCGTTCATTCATTTCTGCCAGCCAGCATTACAGCAATAAGTAAACAAAACAAGTCACTCATATTGAACAATATTTTATTTTATTGTTGTGCATATTGAATTTCAATTATTTAAATTATGTTGATTTTGTTGTGTTGGTGTAATGTACTCAGGTGAATAAGATGCTTGTGATGTTACTCTGAGTATATATCCACACCGGGCAGGCTTGACAAATATGCCTGGCCACGATGGGAATCGAACCCACGACCTTTGGAATGCTAGCCCACTCAATCTCGAAACCAGAGCCCGCAATCCTCTGTGGAGGCTTGCTGAGACTCTGGGAAACACCGGCGACTTTTGCACGAAAATCAGTACATGTGGATCCAGTACTCCGCTCGACATTTATAAATAGACATTACTGCCGTCAAACATGACTTATGCCGTTGTTTAAGCTTATTACGACTTTTATTATTAGCATGACAAAATTACTGGATGCTGATTGGTTGAGAGGAGTACAATTATTTCATTAATTGTACTGCAGTACAATTAATGATTTTCCCAAAACAAACAAAATGGCGGAAACATATTTTAAACTCAAGCGTGAAATGAAATTGCCGTGGAGGAACAAGATGAAAATACGAACAAAATCACCAAATTTTGCTTTAACAAAAGAACTAAATGAAAATACAAACAAAAGCACCAAATTTTGGTTGAAAGTCTGGCGGGACTGGGCTTTGGCGAGAGAATATGATGCTGACATTGAGAAGTACGTATCCAATTTTGTCATGTTAATAATAAACAAGTAATCATGCGATGTTGCTCGTACAATTAGGGATTAATGGTACTTGTGATGTTTGGAAATTTGCCAAATTGGACTCGCCCCGGAGGCTTGTCCAATTTTGGCAAAATTTCCAAACATCACTCGTACTATTAATCCCTAATTGTACTCGCCATCGCATGATTACCTATACTAATTCTTCAAAGAACACTTGCCATGGTTTTGAACTGTTGTAAGGGGCGGACCATTTGATTTTTGAGGGGGGAGGTGGAAGATTCAGTCTGTGCAAGAATTTTTTTTCCGCCCAGGCGAACGAGACAGATATTTTTTTCCTGTAAAAGTGCAGCGCAAGATATTTTTTTCCCAATATATTTGGCCGCAGGATATTTTTTTTGCCTCTCATAATAACGGCTTACAGTAACTTTAGGCTTTCATATAGCTATCATCGGAGGCGTAGCAGGGGTTTTCAGTCAGAGGAGGCCGAGAACTGAATCCCAAGAGGGGCCAAGGAATTTTCACTGTGCTTTATTTTATATATGGTTATGTCTTAATGTTCCCCACACTAAAGCGTGCAAGTTTACTTACAAAGAATGTATAACTGCACCAAAACCTAAAACATGCAGGGATAGAGTAGAGTACTCGAAAATGGGGGAGGGTACAGTATATGAATGACCTGTAACCTTGGGGGTTCGAGGGCATGCTCCCCCGAGAAAATTTTAAAATTTGAACCTCGGAAATGCTATTTCCTCCGTTTTCAGCCATGGATAATTATCTTAAGCCAAGATTTTCTCAGGGGGGGGGGCAACAATTTTGCCAGGGAACACCACTGGCTATCGTATGTCAGAGGCTCCAAAAGCGGTAGAATCCCTGTGATGTTATCCACTGTTCATCCCGTGTTCTTTTAAGCAAATGTGCCTGCTCAAAAATGCAAAATCTTGCAAGCCTGTGGACACAATACTGAAGTGAAGAGCATCAGTAGAGTTACATGTAGAACATTTATTTTGAGCGCTCTCTTTTGCATGATATTTTTTTTTCTCGATTGTGTGCTGCATGATTTTTTTTTCTTTCTCCTTGGGTTGCAGGATTTTTTTTTCCGAAATCTTCCACCCCCCCCCCTCAAAAATCAAATGGTCCGCCCCTTACGGTAAATCATGGATTGTTGTGTTATTTTAAATATTATAGGCAACGGCTTATCATGACCTAATATGGTAATGCTGCACTGTTGTTATTCTAATTTTGTTATTTATAGCATATCAATATCAGAAATAGAATAGTCTTTTGATTTCATATGAGAAGCTAGGAAAGCTTAATAAGTTTATTAATGTTATGCTGTGTGTTTCATTGATATGTTTAAACATAATACACAAAGAGAAATAAACTTTATATTAATTTTAAACGATGTTTGAAATTTGAATCACTAAATACGGCTCAAAGTTTGAATAATAATTAGCACGTGAAAAACAACCAATCAGAGCCCGACTTTCGCTGGTGTTTCCCAGAGTCTCAGCAAGCCTCCTCAGAGGATTTCGGAACTGAGGGCCTGTTCATATGGGCAAAAGTTATCCCGGTTAGCGAGAAAACTTTTCGACAAGTTTACAAGCGAGATCTCGCCTTGGTATGAAAATAATATGAAAAGTTACACTGCGTTCATACACAGGTTCATATGAGACAAAAAGTTTTCCCTTGTACCGAGATCTCGCTTGTTGACAGGCTAGATCTCGGTGACCGGGATAATGTTTTTCCCATATGAACTCAACTTTCCCGCTTAGCGGGATAACTTTCTGTCGTGTCAGCAACTTTTCAAATCAATTGATGTTCAGTGCCACGTCACAGCCGAAAACTTTACCCGGTAAGCGGGATAAAGTTTCTCCATATGAACAGAAAAAAAGTATTTGGCTAGTCGAAAAGTTTTCTCGTTAACCGGGATAACTTTTGCCCATATGAACAGGCCCTGAGTCTAGTTCCTTCGATATCAATGTAATCTAATAATCATGATTTTGCTGTGTTGGTGTAATCCGATTTGTGTTGGTGTAATCATGATTTTGCTGTGTTGGTGTTAATGGTGTAATTGGTAATAGCACGTACTCGTACCGACCTGACCGCGTAGCTCAGTTGGCAGAGCAGTGGGCTAGTATTCCAAAGGTCGTGGGTTCGATTCCCATCGTGGCCAGGGGCCGGTTGTATAAAAACGTAGTTAGCGCTAACTGCAGTTAAAAAGTAGTTAACTCTTTTTCGTTCGCTGCTGAAATAACCAGGGGCCGTTGTATAAAACTCTTAATCACTTTTTTAATCACTATTTTGTAGTTAAATAGCGATTAACTCTCAAATACGCGCTTTTTATTGGATGACGTTTCCACTAACTATAGTTAACTTTAATCACTTTTTTATACAATCGGCCCCAGGTATATTTGTCAACCCTGCCCGCGGTGTGGATATACACTCAGAGTAACATCACAAGCATCATATTCACCTGAGTACATTACACCAACACAGCAAAATCAACATAATTTAAATAATTCAATATGCACAACAATAAAATAAAATATTGTTCAATATGAGTGACGTGTTTTGTTTACTTATTGCTGCAATGCTGGCTGGCAGAAATGAATGAACGATTGAACGAATTTAGACAACACCAATATAAACAACAATTTGCTGCCATCACGCCATGTGCCAGCAAAACCGCCAAACTAAAAGGCACAATTAAATTATTAATCTTCGTATTTATAATCAAACCATATTCATCTAAAAAATATTGATGTTCACACCATTCAAAGAAGTTTGACATACCTGAGCCAGAACGAGAACTTTCGACACGTTATAGAGTGCCGGCCACACGAGTAAGCGAATTTTTCACGGCTTTCAATTCCTCCTCCATGATGAATTTGTCAATTTGAGACGATCAAAGAATCAAAGTTTCCAAGTATCTCAAAATGACGTCATTATGACAAATTTGTATGGCGGCTTTTGTACAAGCGGCGGCAAATCGCAATTTTCAACTTGACAAATCGCAATTTTCAACTTGACAAATCGCAATTTTCAACTTGACAAATTGCAAACTTCGAATTTGACAGATCGAAACTTTCAAATGTGCAAATCGCAACTTTCAGTATAGCAAATCGCAACTTTTGATATTTAGATTTTTCCGGCCACCAAGTTCATTGTTGCGTGCAGGAAAGTCGTTAAATGTTTGTGTGGTAAACAATTGTCAAAAGCCGTATGAAAAATTATGGGCAAAATTAAATGTTGATTCCCCATATTAAAAGTCGAATTGCAATATTGATTTTTGGCGGTGATGGAACGCCATACATCAGCTATCTTGACATGGTTACAATCGCCAAGACCAAATGGAAACCTGATTTTAGTGTTATATATAAAAAGACTCCTCTTTTAATTATAGTATTTTCTGCTAATGTATACTTTTGGTCGACGTTAATATCTTATCAGTTCCATATTCTTATTCAATAATTAACACTATAACGCCTGGGAATCTCCATTTGACGAGTAAAAATGAAAAGGGGATCAAAGAAAAATATTCTAATATGCAGGGGGGTCACCATTACATTTCTGCTCTTGTAAGGTGGGGAGCTTTTTCAATTTTAAAAAATTAGGAAAGAAAAATCCCCCCCCCCCCTTTCCATAAATAATGGCCGGTCCCTAAGAACACAAGGTCTTGTACTCATGGGGACAAAACTCAAAGAAATAAAAATTAGAAAGTTTAAAAGAAATACAGTAATTCAACCAAAACATGAGCTTAGTATTCAACTTAGGGTTAATAACGAGTAACGAGTTTAATTAATTAAAAAACAGGCCCGGAAGTGCATATTTTATAGTTATCGTTAACTGTACATTGTCATATGACTTATATCTGTATTAATTTATCAGTCGAGTTTAATGCGGTTGATTGGCTATTTTGACAATCTTTTATAACAGACCAAAACGATATAAAATTATAATTAAAACACGATTCCTTACCATTTGTAATGATATGCCAAGAATCAGCAGAGTTTTTAATAGAGTTATCAACAGAGTTACCAACGGAGTTTTTAATATTTTGTGATTTTTAAATTAATCAAAATCGGTTTCGTAAAACCACTATATACAGCTATTTCAATTTAGATTGTCCACGAGCAAAGCGGAAAAGTCAAATACGAGCGCGAAAGGCTGCTGGGAATCGCTAACAAATTAATGAATTTTCAAAGCGGTTCCCAGCAGCCTTTCACGCTCGTGAAACAACTCGTGCTCACAAGCTGGTGCTCGTGGACAACCTTAATTGAAATAGCTGTATGCTAAAAAAATAAAGTTTAGTGTGGTCTTATTTTGAAGAGAACAGAACCGGCAAAGAACGCTGACAGGGAAATTAGAAAAGACCCGCGAAAAAGCCCGCGACAAAATACCCGCGAAAAAATCCGCGACTTTCGTTAATAACTCGCGACTTTCGTTAATAACCCGCGACAATTAGATTATTTCGAAATTTAGAAATGATTAAAAACATTTCAAACAATTTTGGATTGTTACTCGGTCATTTTAGAGTAGTTTTATATGGTTAATCCAACTCCTGACGTCATAGTTAATGAGGTCAAGATTTAGTCCAAGATGGCAGACAGCTCATTAATTTCGGTCTAAATATTTCGAGAACTAAGCAAGATATGACAAATCGGTAATAGAGTTTAATATATAATTTTAAGAGTTCTTTTGAATGAGATAAATTATTTTTCTATTGCCAATGTCCTTTAAAACTCCGAAACATCACTTTAATATCCGACAAAAACTATCCGACCCGACTGTTGGAGAAAACCTTGCCGTGATATTCTTTTAATTTAATTTAATTTACTTTATCTAACTTTGCCTTGGTAACAATATTAAGAAGAAACATCAAATTACTATATATATATAAACAAGGCAGGATTTCCGCAACAGCTACAGCCAATTACTGCGGATCCTTCTTCACAATATTCGTTAAATTAGTTAAGTTTACTGAACCATTTTAAAACCATTTTGTTTAATATCCGCTGGATATCTCAATTTATACTATACTATTTATTTATATATGTCATGTTTTCATTGTGCTAATCTGCTGTATATTGTATTTTCGCTGCGTCGTGTTTTCGAAACTTGTAAAAAAAAACAACTTTGTAATAAAGCAATAAAGTCATGCAGGAAGCCATTTTGAAAGCGTGTACGCAACAAACAATGCAACACTAAAACTGTAGCCGTGAACCGGCCGAAAACAGTTTTATTTCTGAATTTTAATTAAACTGATATTTGGATATTTTGTTTTATTCATTAAAAATCTATACTAAAACAATTATTGGCCTCAGTGATTACGTTGAATATTCACCGGTAATCACTTCAATAGCTTTTAACTTACATTTATATCGTGCATTACACAATGGATCGAGTTCTGTTTATTTGCATTCGGAATTTCTTATTCTTAGCCGATAGTATTACCCGCTGAGTCGTATTTTTACTGGAAATTAGCATTATTTTAATTATTTTGACTGGTACTTATTCTGGTTTATTGCAGTGGAATTTCACAATGGCACCATCAAACTGGACTAATATGATCATCAAATTGAACTTCATTTGCTTGCCAAAACAATCAGTGAGCCCAGGATGTCTTCTGATAAAATTAATAAAATATTCGCCTGCAGATTGTAAGTATTTCAATACGCTCATTTTAGCAACAAAGAACATTTTGAAATAAGAAATTTAAAAGTTGTTTGCACAGAGATTGGTATCATTCAAATCCTTGAAGCTTGCACAGAAATTTATTTGAGACAATTTTGTAAAATGTAATGGTATATGTATACGCTTCTGGGCGGGGCCGATTGTTCGAAGCCCGTTTAGCTTAAACGGTGACGTGGATAAGTCAAAATTAAATAACAGATTCACACATTTTATAAATGACTGAACTTAAATCTCATGCACAAAATATATAGTTGCAAACATAATTGTTCAGTACTCAAGTTGAAATATTTTAGTTTGGTTACTTGATGAATGTATAAACTTGATCAATATTTTCGACTTATCCACCGTTTAGCCTAAACGGGCAACGAACAACCGGCCCCTGTAAAATAAGGGCATCGGCTCTATTTATTTTACCCAAAGTCACGCTGTTTATTCTTTAATTTTAATTTTAAAAACACTTGCAGTATTGGTTGATGAAATGGTTTTAACGGTTAAGTTATTGGGTTTTTTGAGATCATTTGCTTTCTTGTGTACTAAATTAGCTCTATACAATTGCCATACTGTAAAATTACAATGTACACCATCTGCATGTACCATGGTACCCTGCAATCGTGCGATCTTGCAGTATATATTTTGTGGACAAAACTTTCCACAAACTGTAGAATACATATTCTATACTTCGTGCAACGATTGTTGAAATAGATTTGTTTCTAGACTTCATTATAACAAGAAAGGTATACCTTAATGCAACTTGTTTCTCGCAACACAATTGCAAGACAAGTTGGGTGGATATTGTTTTCTAAAGCTCATCAATGCATGGGCGGTGTTAACTATAATAATCTGCTGACGCTGATCTAGTGATGCTTATCTGCCATGGTGTCAATGGCGATCCCGTCGTTCCAATGCGAAAAACCCGTTTTATTATATTTGCCACTTACTAATAAACAGAACAATTACTGCCAATTATATTACCAACCTATTGATGGTAAGATATCTAATCACATGTAAGATAATCGCAAGGACTAAATGATCCGTACGTAATATGTAATCAACTGAGGTCACAAAAAATTATGGCAAAATCAACAACATACAATATCCTAAGGCTTTCAAATAGACCTTTATAAAAAGGTTGACGTCAGCAGGCTTGTGACGTAGTTTGCGGAGAAAATCCCGAAAGCTCAGAGTTGTTTACTTGTTTTGAGTTTTTTAAGAGCCAAAAGAAGCCAGTATTATGGTAAGTTTGAAGTAAATTTTTCTATATATAGGTCAAATGAGTTTTCATATTCGTTAGAGTTTAAATTTTATTTGTTTTTATATTAGATTGTACATTTATTTTACTGTCAACATTTAGCAAATTGTTCGCTCGGTCTGTTTACATATTTCTTTGCTAAAAAGTATATATTTTTCTTTTTTGTTTCTCGAATTCACTGATCAGTCTCATCATCAGAATGGCCCAACTGGCAAAACCTTGATAGAAAATTAAAGCTAGATTGTTGACCCAGACACGGAAAGTGTTATACACGATTGATAAAAGCTATACTTGTCATGTATGTTCACTTCAACTATATTTATCGATAAAATAAGAGACTTTATAGTCTTAGTTTATAATATGTCTAAGTTCACTTATGACTTATGTACCACTTTGCACGATCACTGAGCCTGTGTATTGCTGTCTACAGCTTGATTGGGGGCCATTCTGATGATTAGACTGATGAATTCGAGAAACAAAAAAGAAAAAATATACTTTTTAGCAAAGAAATATGTAAACAGACCGAGCGAACAATTTGCTAAATGTTGACAGTAAAATAAATGTACAATTTTATCTAATATAAAAACAAATAAAATTTAAACTCTAACGAATATGAAAACTCACTTGGCCTATATATAGAAAAATTTACTTCAAACTTACCATAATACTGGCTTCATTTGGCTCTTAAAAAACTCAAAACAAGTAAACAACCCTGAGTTTTCGGGATTTCCTCCGCAAACTACGTCACAAGCCTGCTGACGTCAACCTTTTTATAAAGGTCTATTGCAACTACGTATTTCTGTAGGAGGCAATATTAGACATATGATTATGGTTCATTCTTGAAAAAATGTCTAACTACGATCAATAAAAGTCTTTACTCTTTTAGGTCCAACAACAACTTCAACTACGGTAAGACATAAATATTTTGTATTCAGAATTGTGAAACATATACTGAGCTTTGTAATATTGGAATTGATTTCAATAATTGTATGGTAAATATACAGCCCTATACCTTCCAGGGGCTTCAGAGTTCAGATGTGGTTTCCTCATTACACTGACCTGAAAGGTCAAGTGTCTTAAATCCCTAATTTTCTGCGTTTTTTCGTCGTCGAGATATCGAGTTTGCGTTAGCGCATCGCAGGCTCAGGGTGCAACGATTAAGCCAAAATGCCAACGATTCTTCAATTCCTCGATTTAAATATTATAGTAACAAGCTCGTATTTATGTACGTAATAGCCGGCTCATGCCATGCTTGTGGTACATTTTTCGTTTATTAGCCCATACACTTTTACGCACGCGCACAATTCCAATCTCCAAGGGTAGAGTTCTCCAGTGACATATTCAGTCCAGTTTCAAAATGGCGGCTTTTCACTGAGTGATCAAAATATATTTCACACAGTTTCGATGAGTTTTCAAAGAATTGTGCCGGTTTCTTATGGATTTTACGTTGTGTCCCACTCTGGACTTTCTTGCGTGTTGAATTAATGTGTTTTTCTTTTATGTTTCACTTGTGTTCATTTTTGGGTCGCACTCTGTCGTCATTTTCAGGTCAGTGTAAACGCCTGAATAGGCATCTTGTTCTCTCTCCTCCGCAGAGCCTCCTTAAGTATTTACAAATAACTTACATGAAGTTTCCTGAATAAAAGTGAGCGCGCGCGGTGTGATGGGAAGATTGAAATGAAGTTGGGGAGGCTCTGCCAGATAATGCGACGAAGTATGGTTTTTGAACCAAACTAGTTTTTTGACCTTTTTTTAAACTTGAAATCGACGGAAATGTGAAAGAAATTGAAATGAATCTTCATAATCTGAGTATCGAAGTTCAACAGAGTCATTTTTATAAAGAAATGTTGCAATTAAAAGGATATTTATAATCAGATAGCTCGTATCCATTGATATTCGTTTGCAATTTCTCAATATTTTTCGATGCAAATGGACAGAAGATATTGATATTGAATTCACTCCAGGATACTCACGTACGCCTGAAATGAATGTCGAAAACATGTTTTAACACCCTCGATGGTTGATCGAACTTTGCTACAAACGATTATATACGACGCCATATTGATTGCATTAACTCGCAGAGGCTCCCTTTATTTAGCTCTTCCCATCACTCCTTGCGCGCTCACTTTTCCTCACTAGAAACGTCATGTAAGCCTCTGCGGAGGAGAGATCATCTTGTTAATAAGGTTTCTGGCTAGTAATTTGAAACGTTGCGAAGCCTCTAGTCAACGAGGCAATCCTTTCATAATCAAACCGCGCCCCATTAGCGATTTTAATGCAGAATCTGTAGTAGACACATGATTGATGAAGTTTTAAATAGAATAATTTACATATGATTTGTTTCTGTGTTGGTGTTATGTACTCAGGTGAATATGATGTTTGTGATGTTACTCTGAGAGTATATCCACACCGGGCAAGCTTGAAAAATATGTCTGGCCGGTGGGAATCGAACCTGCGACTTTTGGAATACTAACCCAATGCTCTGTCAACTGAGATGCGCTGTCAGGTGATTTTCTCCCTGTCAGCTCTCAGTTATCCAAATAAATTTTACAAGATGGCAATTATCTAAGTTGCAGTATACCATGCGTTTGAATCCCAGCACACGCAACAATTAAGTCATGATTTTATTTAATCTTATGCATGAATTTGTTACATGCATGATCGATCAGTTGATCTACAAACTTAATTTTTAATATACATTATACTGCTAGTGACGACTTGATATAATTAATGAAATTTAGAGATCATATATACTGCAGTACAATTTAGCTACTGAATATAATAACATTTGAATGTGCTAAATAACGAATATTTATAAAATATAAATATAAATAAATGAAAATATAAATTCTACTCATATTCATGTGAGGACATACCTGACAAATAAAGGAAGTTTTCTAATACTTTTTAGGATTTGTGTTAAAGGATTAGTGTCATTGCGGGATTTTGCTATTGTTTACATTTTACTCAAATACAACAAATAGCGATAAAAATACCTTGTTTGGCACATTTCTGATACAAATCAAACAAAAAGAGCAAGGATTATGAAAGGATGGTTTAAATATATGACGGATTGTAAAAACTTTCCAGATCATCTAATCTATTCGTCCCGAAAAATGGCCGCCAGCAGGAGTTTGAGGGCCTGTTTACATGGAGGTAGGGTGACCCTAGCAGAAGGGTTACCCTAGCAAGCGGGTTACCCTACTTCAATATGTTTTATAGGAAGCGTTTACATGCGTGCTAGGGTTACCCTAGGGGTAGGGTTACCCTATCAAACAGATAGGGTGACCCTAGCAGCAGGGCTATCTTTTTGTTCACATAAGCCATGTAAACGCGTCAGGTAGGGTTACCCTAGCAAGCGGGTCATGTTTATTCGTCCTACTGTGACAAACAACTAACAAGGATGGCGTCGCTAGATTATACATATCAGCCTGGCGAGTATTTTAAATGACACCAGAAAATAAGAAGGATAAGCAATTTACAAATAAGGAAGCGGCAGAGGCATAGAACGAAGCTTTGACTTTGGACGAGAACGCTGCGAATGATGTAGTTTCGATAACAAATTCAGCGTCAAAGACGGCGAACTGGAAGCAAAATTCCGGCGCATCCTCATCGACGTCAAAGAAACAAAATAAATGCTCTTAGTCAGCCGAACATGTCAAAAAACTGTTGTGTTTGACTATATCAAGGAATACATTACGCTTATTTACGCAATGCGAGTAATAGACCACAACATTGAAATAACAGACCACGATATTGAAATAACCTCGGAAATAACAGACCACAACATTGAAATGCAGCAAGCAAAGGCCCAATAAATAGCATTACACAACTTGCCGCTAAAATGTTGCGTTTCGGTGCCATTTATCTAATACAGACCACTTAGCGACCATGCATAGGTAGGGTTACCCTATCCGGCAACATAGCCCTAGCAGTAGGGTCACCCTACCTCATGTAAACGCTCGCTATTTTCTGACCCGCTTGCTAGGGTAACCCTCCTGATAGGGTCACCCTACCTCCATGTAAACAGGCCCTGAGCCTGCGAATTCCTGGTGTGACACTAATCCTTTAAGTCAAAGAATCAGGTTTCATGTATAGCTAATATTGGCTTCATTAAAATCAACCCATTATATCCCACTAGTCATTACTGCTACATTTTATTAAATCATATATACCGCTAAACTACCCGACACGACACATCACTTACCTGACCATACACAGAGATCTTATGACAAATCTGCCACATGTTACCACTTGACACAAGTTGTAGGCAGTTGTCAGCACTTGCTACTACCATGGCACAGGTGGCTAGCACCTGCTACCACTTGCGCTACATACACTGTACATCACTTAAATTGCCATACACTAAATAAAACCCCTTGTAAACTCAACCATGCAGTCGCTACACCACTTGACATAGGTGCTATTGGCAGCTACAGTACTATAGCACCTGCTACTACTCGACAGTGGTGGGAACCACGTGATAGCAGCTGCTTACCGTCTGTTACAGGTGATAGGCTAGTCATTGCAAACCACTTGTAACCATTGGCGGCCACCATAGATATAAAAGCACATAATATTGTGGACATAAGTTAAAATTTTATACCCATGCTGAATTGATGTTATATATTTCGTCCCTCTTTTTCAAGCAATGAATTGATGTACTGTATGTACTCACAGCAAAAAATTTTCTTTCAACCGACAAAGAATAAATTAATTTGTCGTGAAAACTGTAAAGTTAGCTAAATCTGAAAATTAGTCATACTAGGCTATATGCAACTAATTTTGCTTTACTTCACGATGTTAAGTAGCTTCGTAATGAAATTTATTAGAATTACTATGTTGACCTTGGCAGGATGTCCTTCTGAACGATTGTTCAAGCAACGTAGTCCTCGTGAATGGATCGCTGGAAAATAAATTTCTTCAAGGCTCACGTTATTTAAGACAATAAGGGCTTCTTAGCATAAGGATCCGTTTGAGCAAATTGTAACGTGCCGAATTGGCACTCTGCTTCTCAGACTAACATACTCGCAACAGAGTCCGAGTAGCAGAATGTTTGTGATTGCGCATGCAACACAGCCCAAGTACGCTACAAAATATTGAATGCTACCCGAAAAATCTCGACCTAATATATTCACACCGCGCAAAGCTCGTGATCATCAGGATTTTTTGCCTACACTTTACAGGTATCATCGTCTGAAGCAGCCCCTACAAAATCTCCGACAATAGCAACATCAGCAACAACACCAGAAAGCTCTAATGGCACCGTCACTACTTCACAACCAACACATACAAAATCACCAACAAGGTCCAAAGAACAACAGGAAGGTGAATCATCCAGTGTTGTTGGTATTGTTGTTGGTGTGCTAGTGGGAATATTGGTATTATGTGGTATAATTCTTGGATATTTTTGTTATAAAAGAAAAAGGTAAAAGCAGCATTTTATATTTCAATGTTTGGCACACATGCATGCATGTGTAGGATTTTAAGAGCGACTGTCCATAAAAATCGAGCAAACAGTGGCAATAGATGAAAAATAGATTTCTTTCATATTTTGCTCAAATTTAGGTAATACCTAGTTATAAATGGTGTTTGGGTTAGATATTCAATATTTGGTCGATAAACGAACAAATATTAGAAATCAAGAATTTGTCTCTGGAAGGCTATAATTAGCCGCAGACAAAGCCGTTGCCATGGTCAATTTCATCACTTCGCGACAGATTCAAGTATTAAAGAACAATTTTATCAATATAGAATGGCCCAGGAGGCTTTAACTGGCCTGACAGACGTTGTTGAAATTGGCTATTTTTAGTCAAATTTTACAATTGCATTTTGTCACTGGATTTGAAGGGGAAATTTACTATGTGCGATAATCGCGTAATAAATTTGTTTATATTTCATCCACGGAATGGTATAGCATGAGTACATGTTATATATAAAAACTAGCTTGGGTTATTGCCTTGGAGCCTCACGCGAGACTTTTAAAAAAGCTCATTTTGGTGATTTCCGGTGGAATGTAACACAATTAAATCATTATAGCCCCATACGTCTATACCAGAGTCACGAAGCTCAAATTGTTCAAAACTTTGAATTTTGTGTTTCGATATCAATGTATATGCTTTGTATACTTTATAAAGAATCGTTTAGAAGGATTTTCAATATATTTTAGTGATAGGCCTACTTACAACAAAAGCACAACAAATCATCATATCATTATACTAGACTGTAACGTTGCTATTTATAGCAATTCGCGTTTTGTTGCTGAATGTATATTTAATATGTCTGTCTGTAAGCTTTTGAAGTCTTATAATTTCTCATTTTTGTTTAATGCTTTCTCTGCATATGTAAACTAATAGAATTAAAGCTAGGTAAATACAATAAAAGTAGATAAGTTGGAACATGTATATGTTTACACTTTACGCTAGACATTTTTCTGGACTCTCCTGTTACGAAACTAACAAACAGGTGACGAGTTTTACTATAGTGCGAGGCAGCGAGGCATATGAGGCACGATGCGAGGCACAATGCGAGGCGTGAAAAAAGTGCGAAGCATGCGAGGTTAGTAGAAGTGCGAGGCATGAAAAAAAGTGCGAGGCATGAAAAAAAGTGCGAGTCAGGCAGATGTGCCAGTGGGAGGCAGACACAATGACTGACTCCACAATTTGACGATATTTAACATATTGAACATACTTAACTTGACGCTGGACAAACGGACAAATGTGAACGACATTCTAGTTTTAATAACAGTTCTGTCTATACATTATAGTTTTAAATAACTACAGCACTCCAGTCAAAACCTCAAAAAGTAAACATTAACCTAGACAATAGCTCAACAAGTGACAAGCTTCACTAAAAATTATGGAATATTAACTATTTTGCGTTGTTCATCTGTCAATTGAAAAACTACGTTCATACAAACTCGGTAAGGTTTTATAAACGAATTGCTGGGTAATTTGGAAATGCATTCAAACCAAGGGAAACCAATGGCCCAAGGGCAGTAGAAAAAAAGGCCCGTCAGGACTCGCGGGATTGCCTCACATGCGCGTGCGCCGCGATGGCGGTTAGCCGCAAGTTTCCTGGCTCGCGAAAAATGTTAATTTTTTTGTACATACACATAATATGTTGTGGATTATTCTATACAAACATGAAGAATACATCAAGTGTTTCCACCTGGCAAGAGATTTACGTGTGTTCAGAAGTTATGAAAGCTAAAATCTTTTCCAACGGTTTCAAGCGACGACGAAAAGTGAAACAACGACCGTTAGCAAATTCATTAAAATTGGCTCTCGGCTGTCGCCTTCTCCTTTACGCCTTGTTTTCAGTGTTTCTGATCAAACTATCGGGTGATGTTGAAATAAATCCAGGCCCTACCAGCAATGCAAATCAAATCTCGCATAATAATCGAGCAGTAAAATGCCTTGGGCTCAACGCACGGAGCTTGATGAGTGTAACGAAGACAAATGACGGACAAACTGTGAGTAACCTTGAACGATTTCAGAACTTTGTTTACTCCGAAGACATTGACATTGTTTTTGTCAACGAGACTTGGCTTTCTGTGAATATAGACAATGGTGAAATTTTACATTCTGGATACGCTATAGTCAGAAACGACCGGGAAGGTCGCGGGGGCGGAGTTTTGTTGGCAATAAGAACGGGATTATTTAAAACTGTGCGTGAAATTAAGCATGATCAGAATCTGGAGATTGTTTTGGTGGAATTAACAACAATATCGGACTCGAACATACTTATTTGCTCTTGTTATCGTCCACCAAACGCGGACAAAATTTGGATGGAAAATTTTGAAAATTTTCTTAACGATGTTTGCTCACGTCATTCAAAACTTGTTCTCGCTGGCGACTTCAATCTACCGCGCGCGTGCTGGAACTCGCGGGAAATCTCCGTAGGCGTGAACGAAACGAAATTTATTGAAATTCTGGATGACTTTTTCCTGGAGCAAATCAATAACATTCCCACCAGAGAAAACAATGTACTTGATCTCTTAATTACTAGTATTCCTGACAAGATAAAGATAAGCGAAGTCTTAAAACCAACTGATGCGGGAATCTTCACAGATCATAGCCTAATCATGTTTGATCTAATCACGGCATGCAATCCATTACCAAAAGTAAAAAGAACCGTATTTAATTATCGTCGAGCTGACTTTGATGGTCTACGAGCACATCTTCAATCACTTAACCTCAAGGAGAAAATATCTGATCATGGCGATATTAATAAAGATTGGTCGGAATGGAAAGATTCGTTTCTTGCGGCGGTGAAGCAGTTTGTTCCAACTGCAAATTTAAAAGGTCGAAAGTCTCTTCCTTGGATGAATAGTACAATTCTTCATTTAATTAAGAAGAAAAACTCGTTGAGAATGAAAATCAAAAGATCTAGTTCACCAAGTGACTACCTAAGAGATCAATTTAAAAGCCTCCGCTCCACCATCAAGCGAATGTTGCGTGACAGTCGACTTGAATACATGAACAAAATCTGCGCCAATCGTGATCACAACCCAAAACGCTTTTGGTCCTTTTTTAAGACGAGGTCAAAAGTTTCCAACATTCCAGGAAAAGTTTCCACGAAAGTCAATGACAGTGAAAGAAAGCACGCGAACAGTAACACCGATATAGCGAACATGTTCAATGAATATTTTGTTTCCATCTTCTCCTCTGACTCGGACGTCGCCCTTGAACATGGTGATCGTCTGCATAACGTAGAGTTTGAGAATATCACATTATCGGAGGAAGAAGTACTAGCTGTGATAATGAATTTAGACCATAATAAAGCACATGGCCCAGATAATATTCCAGCCCGCCTACTGAAAGAGACAGCCGCGCAGATTGCACCATCTCTCTGTTCTCTTTTCAACAAGTCTTTACGTATTGGCGTTGTGCCTGACGATTGGAAACTCGCTAACGTGGTCCCTGTTTACAAACACGGAGAAAAAGCGGAGGTAGAAAATTACCGACCAATTTCACTACTGTCCCTTATATCAAAAACCCTCGAACGTTGTGTATTTAACAACATCAAACATCATGCTTATGATCAGATAAACCCTTGCCAAAACGGTTTTGTGCCGAAAAAATCCTGCATCACCCAACTCATCGAAGTCCTTGATCACATTGGCCGTGACTTAGATCGTGGTAAACAAATTGACGTACTTTATTTAGACATGTCAAAGGCCTTTGATAAAGTGAGCCACGCAAAGCTGTTACATCGCCTTCGTGAATTCGGGTTTGGAGGAAGCATTCTCAAATGGTTCGGTTCATATCTGACCAACCGATATCAACAAACGACCGTTCTTGGAGCAACGTCGAGGCCGCTTCCAGTAACATCAGGAGTGCCGCAGGGGTCCATCCTCGGTCCATTATTGTTCCTTCTATATGAGAATCATCTCTCCAATTCCGTGACCAATTCAAGGATTGCTATATTCGCGGACGATACCAAGATCTTCAAGACCATCAATTCGATCTCTGATGCGTCTGCTCTACAGAATGATCTGTCAAACTTCCAAGAAAGCTCAAGCACTATTAACCTCGAATTAAATAACACCAAATGCAAAGTCTTAAGAGTCACCCGAAAGCACAATAAAATTACTTATCCATACAAACTTAACGATACCATCCTAGAATGCACGGACTGTGAACGAGATCCTGGAGTTTTAACATCTTCTACTCTGATTTGGTCTAAACAAGTTGACCACCTGTGCAACAAAGCCACCAAAATGCTAGGATATGTCCGAAGATCAACCTTAAACATCAAAGATATCACGGTTCGCCGCAGACTATATTTATGTCTTGTTCGTTCCCAGCTATGCTATGGATCTCAAATTTGGGCACCACAATCAGTAACCTTAATTAAACGCGTGGAAAGACTTCAAAGATGCGCAACAAAGTACATCCTGAATCTGCCCTTCCGTTGTGACACAACCTACAACCAGAGACTTGCACTCTCAGATCTCCTTCCATTGTGCTACTGGCATGAATTTCTAGATATGGTAACCTTCTACAAATTAACGCATGGTATCATGACCATTGACAGTAATTTAATACAGTCGTCACCCAATAACAACAGAAGACAAACCAGGTCGTCTAATCCCAATCATCTGTCAATCACAACGGCACAATGCAAGACCACTACCTACCAAAGGTCATTTCTCAACCGAACAAAGAGACTATGGAACGCATTACCAAAAAGTTTGACAAGCAATAACATTAGTTTAGGACAATTAAAAAACGGACTTTCAAAATATTACAAGTTAGCGTTGGAAGACGTTTTTAACGTTGATGATCCAAGGACATGGAAATCTATATGTTTGTCTTGTAACAAGTCTCGTAATCTGTCCTGTCAAATATCGTGTTGTTATTAGATTTATGTTCGTTGTATATTGTTGTATAGTATTAAAATAGTTAATGGGGCCGCTGTAATTGGTGAAAACTGTTGCGTGCACCCTGCCAATGAAACACATATTATTATATGTTGTTGTAAATCAGTGGTGTTATATGTTGCATGTTACTTGGCAAAGTTAAATAAAATAAAATAAAAAAATAATACAAATTTTAAATTGGACCAATCAGTGTTTGCAATTCATGACTGCCCGCTATATTTTGAGATCAGTGAGGATGAACACCCACGGACGGTAACCCATGCGCCCGCGATTATTGATGAACATTAGACTTCGCTAATGCCCGGGATTAGTATCTTCGGCCCGGGCTTACGCCCGGGACCGCGCTTATCGCCGTTGGCCTTGGGGTTATTTTGGCACAGCCGAGTACAGGCAACGAAATATTCGTTGCCTGGAGAGAGATCCGATTTCGCATATTCGGTTTCTAGATTACCGCTCTACACATTGAGTTATCGTGTATCGCAATGATACGAAATTAGTTTTGCACATATCATATGACTGGCAAGTGACTGTCAATGGTATTTTTTGTTACAAGGAAAAAACACACAAAATGTCATCGGAATGTGCTCATCGGGAGGTGAGAGTTATTGCCCTATTTTTTTAATTTTTTTGTGGTGCAATTGGCGTTTTTTATAACGCCATTTCGACGAATTGGATTTCTCTAAAATTCAGTATTTGATGCTGCAATTCTATTATAATTGGCTGAGTTGATTGGTTATCTTCATTCGAATGACTTAAAGTGATATCGTAATGAGAATCAAGATATTATTAGTGCTGCATCTATTTGTTAAAATACATATACCTGTAGGTTAAGAATGGTAAGTTATAACGTTTTATTTTAAATATTTAAAGATATCAAAAATCTATGAACAGTAGTGTCATAAAACTTCCTACGTACACTATTGCGCCACCATACTATTTTTCATACCAGCCAAAAGAAACCTTTAGGACGGCAATGCGACGACGAAGCCCAAAACAAACTCCCTCAAATAAATGGTAGTAAAGATAGTTCGTGGTGTATTATCAATCGTATGAATTTAATAACAGTCTTAAAACTTGAAAACATGGGTTTTGTGTTTGGGGAGATTTCTGCTAAACCCAGTTTGAAGTTGTCCTTGTTGTGGCTTGAAAGGCCCCAGTTGTATCAAGACTTGAAAATATGTGATTTGGCGTTGTAAACAGAGCGAGAACAATGTCTACATTATTCATATATTTTAATTGTTCAATTCTTTTCAATGATTTATGGTCTTGGTAGCCGATGCCGTCGCGTTCCCGTTCTCAATCGTAAGGTCTCTAAAACTGTTCTTGCTAAACGGGAATATGTTGTGAAACACGGATGATAATCGACCTTGTAATATTGACTCATGCACAGGAATAAAAATTAAAAATCCATGCATAGAAGGTCATAGAATGGAAATTGTATGGACCTTTATTGGAAATAGAATGGACTTTGATAATAGATAATGATTGTATATTTCCATATTATGGATATATAGTATCGAAATAATATGTATATACTATGGATTTAGTGGTGCAATTGCAAATTTCAAAGCATGGATTTCACATTTTTTCCCTAGTGATGTACTCTTGTTACCTGCCTGTAACACAAAGTGAACCGGCAGCTTGTTTTGCCGGGCTTTTTTGCTGTGTCGTATTTTAGTCCGTGCGTTGTGACCTCGAAAAGTGGCTAGAAAACGATTTAGATCTGAAATATTTTTACCGGAACTAACATTTTCGAACACGCTGAGTTCAATTCCGAAAAGTTCCCACTCCGTAGACCAGTAGTTTTCTCACAAACTGCTATTTTTTTTCACTAATTTCACAGCAAATTTTTTTATTGTTCAACGACACGGATTGATGACGATACACGATTATGCACTCAAAAGGACCCGATTCCTATTAGCCATTCTTAGTTTTAACCAAAAACCGGTTTTGCTCGAATCATTTTGAGTTATGCAGTCTTATGCGTGTTGGACGTAAACAACATATCACGTCTTACTCTACAACTTTGAGAAGTTACAGATAATTCCTTCTAATATCCCGCTTAGTTCTGGATCTATCTCTACAAAATTACAAGGACGTTAATGCTAAGTCTATGTCTCTGGGCTGAGAAATAATTGCTTACATGCGATCAAAATGTTTTACACAACGATGTAAATCGGTAAGTTATATGTAATGGATCAGCATTTAAATTTCCAACACAGTTTCTGAGATGTAATTCAAGAGATAACTTATCATTGTATTTGAACTATTACATCAGTTGGTGTTATACAGTGCGATAAGCGAATATTATTGGAAAGATCGAGGGCTTCCATATACGTTGAAATTACTAAACCAACAGCTCATGCAGACATTTCTCCACTTCGTTTACAGAACATATTTTATACTTTGGGATTGATTTTTGTCTTTGATGTGAACATTTATTTTTATAGTTTAAAGGTTATTTATAAGTTTGATCCTGTCGTAAGTGTTCTACCAGCAACCAATCGACAATATTTCATTTTAGCGTTGTCTTTGCCGTTACGTTAACGGTGGCTTCGTGTTACTTTTGTTTTAAATACCTTGATCGCGTTAAAATCGTTATATTTCAGGCCAGTGACATAGCCAAAAGACTTCGCATTAATGTCCTTGTGATTTTGCATAGATATCTCTAGAACTGAGGATTTTAGAAAGCGTTATCTGCACTTTCTCAAAGTTGTAGACAAGATATGTTGTTTAAGGCTCTGTCACACTATTGCTTATCGTACTAGCGTATGCCAGTGTATGAAAATATCACTCATACGCCGGTATACGCTGACATACGCTAGGGGTACGTTAGGCATAGGTTGTATACGTTTCAAGCACAGTCGCGTACGGTGGCATACGCTGGCATACGGCGAGGCAGAAAATTTTTTTTAAGCATGTTCAAAAATTTTGTGCGTATCGAACGTATGGTTTATACGATAAACATACTCTAGGCACACGCTGAATACGCTAGAGCTACGCCAGATGTACGCCTCATACGCTGGCATTTCAAAGGACTTTTGTGCGTATGAAAATTATTTCATTAATTTTCATACGCTTGTCATACGTTTCTGTCATACGCAATAGTGTGACAGGGCCTTTACGTCCAACAAGCATGCGCATAAGATTGCATAACTCAAAATGATTTGAGAAAAACCGGTCTTTTGTTAATAAGTGACAGTTAAAAAGTTTTGTTTTGAGTGACATATTCGTGTATCGCTATCGATCCGTGTCGTTGAACAATGAAAAATTTGTCGTGAAATTATTGAAGATAAAATAGCATTTTGTGAGAAAACTGTGGGTCTACGGAGTGGGAACTTTTCGGATTTGAACTCAGCGTGCTTGAAAGTGTTACGTCCTTTCAAAATATTTCAGATCTAAGATATGCTTAATGAAAGTGAACGATATCGGGTCACAACAGGGGGATTATTTTGATGCATTTGGACTATGTCGCGTATCATTTGGAAAATGAATGAAGATTGTCCGCGAACTATTAGTCGTAACATGTTAATTAGTCGATGGTGAGCCAATTAAAACAAAACATAGATATGAAATACAGCACTTGAGAGAAATCCCATTCAATGTTCCAGGAAATAACTTCAAATTTCTGGATATAAATAAACAAATTACGGTTGACAACCATTTCAATTTCAAATTATAAGCAATTATTGGATGAGGCTGAGCATGATATCAAGAATTATTCAGACCGAGGTCAATGTTATCTGCCGAAGCGAAGCTGAGGCGGATAACATAGACCGAGGTCTGAATAATTCTTGATATCATGCGAAAGCAGAATCCAATAATTGTTTTATTATACATTTAAAGACATGAGAAACGTATAGGACGATTCCTGTTCATGAAGTAGGAAAAGTACAATTTGAATATCAAATACCTTGCACAAAGTCAAAGGTCAGCTAAATATTATATTTCTACTTCTATTTACCCCTTTGTGGCTTTTTTCGTGCTTTCACTATCCTTATCTGCCAATAATTTGGAGAGTTCACTTTCATTCAGCGAAGCAAATCTGCTGTCGGCCATTGTTTGTTTTTTTCCCCGCGCTTATAGGTTCAAGCTTTTGGCCGCGCAAGGGTTTGGGCACGAGAGAGTCCAATAATTTTTTTTTTGGATGCAAGTTCGATCCAAAAAAACAATTA